CCAGATTTGAGATTTCCTGTTAAAATATATACAGGTTCCTAATATTAAAAGATATTTGTAGTCTGGTTTTCTAAAGGGCTATTAAAATTAATATTGACAGCAGCAACAATTTTAGAGGAAAATGTTTTTAGCTGCATAATTATCTGTAACATTTCATCAGAGTGTACAGCAGCCGGGTCATATGATAGGGCTATCAAGCATTTGTGGTACTGAGGTCCTTGTGCAGACTAGACAAGCTCTCAACCCCGAGCTATGCCCTAATCTCTTTGTGTGTTCTATTGTCCAGAAGCACAGTCTTTTATATTTCTTCAAATTCCTTCAAAATTGCAGGCTTTACACTTAAGTCTTCAATCTATTTGGAGTTGATTGTTGTAACTGAGGAAAAAGTAAGGTGTTTGGTTTCACTCTTCCCCCAGCAACCCTCACCAAGGGAAGACTGTCTCCACTATGTGATCTGAGCATTTCCTCTGGCTGCAGATGTGTGGGGCTGTTTCTTGGCATAGATTTTGTTCCATCAGTTTGTCTGTTTTAATGACAAAATCATAATCTTCTTTATTTCTATAGCCTCTAATAATATCTTGAAGTCTGTTTAGTGTAGTTATCTCCAGATCTGTCTGGATTGTTTTTCTTTTTTGTTGTTATTTTCATGTGCGGTTTGGGGAATTTGTTTTGTTTTTTGAGACAAGATCTCATGTAGCCTGTGTCCATTGCACTTAACTGTAGCCAGGACTGGCCTTGAATTCCTGATCTTGTTCCACAGTTTTCCAAGTGCTGGGACTTCAGGTGTCCCCACTTTATCTGGCTTACAGTGTTGTTCTTTTTGCTCAAGATACCCTCAGTCATCTGTGCCTCTGTGTGAAATTTTAGGATTACCCTTCTAGTTTTGTGCTCCCACAAAACACACTGATACTTGGATGCTCTTCCAGTTTGCTTTGCCATTGCTGTGATAAACCTGGTCACTGTATTTATCTAAAGGATTTTTGCCGGGTGGTGGTGGTGCATGCCTTTAATCCCAGCACTCGGGAGGCAGAGGCGGGTGGATCTCTGTGAGTTCAAAGCCAGCCTGGTCTACAGAGTGAGTTCCAGAACAGGCTCCACAGCTACACAAAGAAGTCTTGTCTTGAGAAACAAATTTAAAAGGACTTTAGAGGAGACCAGGGTTTATTTGGCTTCCACTTGCAGATCACAAATCATTATTGAGGGAAGTCAGGGCAGAAACATGAAGCAGAAACAATGGTTGCTGCTCACTGGCTTGATCAGGCCAGCCAAGCTGGGTGCCTCAGTGGTCAGGGTAGTCCCACAATGGCTGTCTCATGGGAGTTTTTTATTTGACATACTGAGTTTAATATCCAGCATCATGTCACTTTTGTTTGTCTCTCTTTTTTCTTTTTAAGTAGAGATGAAATTTACCAAAAGACAGGTTTTTGTACAAGGGCCATCTCATGTCCAGACGAGAGCACTCAGGGCACCTTCTTTCAGTAGTTCTGGCCATGCCTTCTTCTGTGATATCCCCTTAGCTTCAAGAGTACAAGACATTCTTTAGGTTGTTCAAATATATTTTCTGAATTCTGTGAATAGTTGTCTATTACTTAACTCTCTTCTTTGACAATTTTCTACATGTATAGAATACACTGATTACTCTCACCCATGTCCTGCCATACCCCTTCCCATCTCCATCGACTGCTGTCCTCCCTTCAAGTCTCTTAGCTCAGTTTCTGTCTCCTTGTTTTGGTTCATGGTCCACTGGGTTTAACCAGAGCCTGCTGAACTCCCCAGTAATGAGGGGTGGATCTGATTAAGCCTGTCCCACTTTATGTGTCTGGCTGTTGGTGGCCCAAGTTTTGTGCAGACCCAGTACCAGCAACTGCAGCTTCATTACAAAAAACAAAAACAAAAACAAAGAAAACTAAACAAACAAACAAAAAACAACGAAACATAATTCTTAACTATTATTCTCTAGTTTCTTTAGAACTATATCCCTGGGCAACAACAAATGCTCCTTATTTCTGGAAGGCTTGCCCGTATTGGGTATCACAGAAACAGACTCTTACCATTCCCTAAAACTCTCCTCTGCAGTGTATGTCTTTATATTCTTAATTAAGTTAATGAGCTCCAAATATTTTTAATTATCTACATTCCTTTAACTTCATTTTTATTGGCATCTAATTTACAGTGACCATTAGAAGCAACTATAAATGTGATGTATCTTATAGCTAATAATCTATAATTTTTCTAGAAGAAAACATGGAAAGCTCTTCGCCACATACGGATGAAATCCAAAAACCACTTTATAGGACATCTAGGGGAAGTTCAGGCATCCCTGCAACCTTTCAGCAGATGATGAACAGCAGAAAGATTACAGGTAATGTTTAATAATGTCTGTGTGCAACCGGATTAATTTACTGAAAGATTTTGTTATATGGGAATGATCAAGCATATTAGCTTTAATTGGAACAGAATTTAGCCAAATACAAGTGGGCATGCACCGAACTCTGTTCCACCAGCACACGCTCGTTCTGAAGGTGAGGGGGCACCCCTCCACATCTCCTCCTTCCTCATAACAGTGAAGTTGGATCTCCATTTCCTTCCCAGAGATTTTATTTCTTCCTCAGCACGGTAGCTCCTGAGGATGATTAGGATAAACCCATAATCCTCTTCCTTTCACATACACATCCCTCTTTTTGGCAGTCCCAGGTAGAGTGTACTACAGAAAAGGTGAACAGAGGAGGTGGGAAGACAAGCAGCTGTGTGGCCCCCTTTCCTTATCATTTCACAACCATTTCCTCCTCCATCTGATGCCATTAATATTCAAGGCTGTGTGAGCTACTGCAGAAGCATTTTGGGATTGCCCTGCACGTATCGAACTCCTTTATAACACGGATGAGTTTTCTTTGGTGTACTGTGCACCCTAGTACCTAAAAGAAATACATATACCATAAAATTTCCTGAAAAACAAAAGTAACAAGGAAAAGTTGACCGGGCTGCTATTTTTATTACATCTCTTTTTGCTGGAAGCACATGCAGAGGATATTTAGCAATAAAAAGTTTGAGCCTGCTCCCCAGGAAAGAAAAAAGGAAAACGAGTGAAGGAAATGTGACCTCTTTTCTTCCTCTGTGAGATAGAAGGAATTATATCAGATGGCTGAGGACAATTCAAAACAATGAGCAAAGTCCTAGGATCCAGAAGACAGGAAAAAAAATTGAGAAGCTAGACAAGCGTTTTCTCAGTGGCACACCCTCACGTGTCCGAGCTGCTCCAGCTGGGCCCAGTTGTCTGCCTGTACCTTGCAGACACATGG